AGGCAGGCAGGCAGGCAGGCAGGCAGGCAGGCAGGCAGGCAGGCAGGCATCGTTGAGCAAACATGCTGCTTTGGCTACAGAAATTGTCCTCTGGATTTGAGTTAGGAAAAGGAAGTGAGTGCCCCTGCTGAGGATCAGTTCTCTGTGCACCTCAATGCAGGGGACAAGGAAGCACACACTCGACTGAGACCACCGCACCTGCAGACATTCAGGGCCAGGATCTGGGGTGCAATTGGGTGTCCTGGTTAAAGAATGTTCTGCAAAACACACTCCCATTGCTCCAAGCTTAGAATAACAAGATGCAAGCTCGGGATGGTTTGGCCCGAGGTTGGAACACCCAGAATCATTGTTTGGAACTTGGCCAAGAGGATGCTTCATCACCATCAGCAAAATCCATCATGACTCAAAAAAAAAAAAAAAAAGCTTAACTTTTCTTTCTCTTGTTGGCTCCAGGAATTTTTAAAGTGTTGGTTTTTAAAAAAAAAAATCATCTTCTTGGACAACTTTTCTGTAAGTTAGATAGTATGGTCTCCCATCCCATTTACTTTGGCTTCAGACAAACAGCCAAGGGAACCAGGGGCTTGTTTTGAATTCCCATGGTTTCCCATGGTTTCCCATGGCAGAGCACTGAACATTCCCTATTTTGCCCTGAGCCTGGGCCAAAAGTGAGGAAGAGATGGGGTGGTTGTTTCCTGCTTGGAATATTTGAAATAGCCCTCCTCATCTTGGAATGACCCATAAAACTCTAAGACTGGTTTCACAGGTGCCATTACACCCCTCACTGTGTTCCTCCTCCCATTTCAATATTCCTTCTCCTCTTTTTTGACTTCTTGTTTTCTCTTTCTGTCCTGCTTCTCCCCTCCGCCTTTTCTCCTCCTTCTGTACTATTTCTGCCCCTAAAATGGAAACACCCCCCAAGATGAGGAGTTGGCCTCCTGGAGCCTTCATGGCCACACTCCCAGGGCTTGGGAAAATGACTCTGCATCCCCTGGAAGTGGATTTTAATATCGTTATGAGTTAAAGGTAGACGCTGCCCGACTCCCAGCAACTCCGGGCAGCTGTTTTCCCTATGAACTGGTTACTCGTTCCTGTGTGTTGTTATAACGCTCGTCCTTTCATGATTTTGAACGGCACCCGCGACGACGCGGCTCCGGTCCGCGCCTCCCGCTGTCGGCTGCCGTGGTCCAAAAAGCCTCCGCGGCAGACCGACGCTCCGGGCGTAGCTTCTTCGGGGTTCGCGGCCGCGGGAGGGAGGCGGCGTGCCG